TTTTTATACAAGTTCTCAAATATGTTGAGCTTTGCTAAATTAAATCTTTGTCATAACGATAACAAGCTGTGCTGTCTCATTCAATTATTTAGCAGTGAATCCAATCAAATATTTTATTTATTTCTTCCTGTTATATAAAGTTGTGTGTTCTAGAGCCCAAAAACCGACAAATTCGAACTGAACCGAACAATAATTTGATACTAAATGCCAATGAAATTTTTTTACAAACTAAAAGACCTCAAATCCGAAAAACCTGAACCGAAACGTATTTTGAATGCCAGTGATTCAATATGTCTAGAGTACGTTAGAAATGAGAACCTCAATGTTCCTCGGAACTTCAAATGCACCAACCATTGGTCGGATAGATCCAGTTGTTTTATCTTGGATCTAGTAAAAGCCTGTTTTGATCTCTTAAATAGTTCCCAAAAGTACACATTATACAATAGTTAAGAAAATCACTATAATAAACACCTCGTGAAATGGCCATTTCAATATTGAATATCAGTAGTACAATCAATTCAGATTAATTCGCGGATAATCCGTCCGCACTGCGATAGGTTTTTTTGCGGATTTTGATGGACTAGTCCACGGCGGATTGCGGTACACCGTTTAAGATTTACGGATCAGTCTACGGACTAATATTTTATTCGGAACAAATTTTTTTTTGTTCTCAACAGATCTTAGGAGCCATAACTATAACTTAATGTCCATCACCGTAAATAAAAACCTACTAATAATTTGAAGATTAAAAGAAAAAGTTTAGAAGCAAGAGAACTAGAAAATATCAAGTAATGAATATTGAAGAACTAACGAGAACTAGAGAAGTATCAAGTAATAAACTAAGAATTAACTTCATGAGTTAGAAAAGAAGAGAAGTAACTAAGATGTTCTTCTTTACCTGAAATGACTTCATAAGTCAAAATCCTAAAAGTAAAACAATTGCTAAAGATTTATTTTAATTTTAATATTTAACCTTTTTATGAATCGGCTGTAAAATCCATAAACCGCATGTACCGATCCATTACAGTCAGTGAACCGTGGCGGTGTCAATCTGCTAGACCGCGGATAAGAAAAATGAAGTCATAAACCGCTTTATTACATGGTAAACTGGACTGCAATCCGCGGACTTTAGTCCAATTCAGGGTCACGAACATATAAAGACAAGACGTACCATTGATCATGTATACGAAGGGTTTAATTTATTTATATATTTGAAAATGTTAAACTACTTATTTAAAGCAAAAAAAGAAGAATTAGTGAGTTATTTAGTCGATAAGTGGCTAAGTGCGTTTCCAATAAATACAAAATAGTTATAAGTGGTTTAGGTGGTTGTTACTTCCCCTTTCACAAACAAACCAAACCAAAAAGATCAAGAAGTTTGATCACGAGCGAGGAGCCAACACATGAACCTGCTTCTTCCTTCATTTGAAACTGACCAAGAGGAAAATTATGTCGAACACAAGACCACGGAAAATGGAGGCATTGGTGGTGGCCGTCTCTGGAAGTTCAAAGGCAACAATGAGGCCAAGGAAGCGGCGAGTGTCTCAATGAAAGGTACCCTTGCTAGGTTATTCGACAGCTGCAGCAAAGATGTTAAATAGACCATTTTGCCCCTCGGTCACGGTGACCCGTCTGTCTACCCTTGCTTCAGGACTTCCATTGAAGCAGAAGACGCCGCCAACTCCTACGCTCCCGGGGTCGGTATTTTACCGGCCAGGAGGTAATTAAGTTTCTGATTACTTCTTTTATATATTTCTTGAATATATATAACCAAAATTTATCTAAGCGCCGCCTTGTTATAAAATTAGGTGTATAAGTATATTTTATAAGCAATTTGTGTTTGTTCAAAGTTTTCTGCACAAAATATATATGAGGGTAAGTACCTTAGTTGTGCTAATAAAATGTACAACTTCGCTCGTATTATTTTAGGGCAGTTGCGAATTATCTAAATCAGGACCTTCTACATAAGATGAAATAAGATGATATATTTATAACGGTGGGGTGTTGTCAAGGGATAGAGACAATGATTCAAGCTCTTGCGGGATCGAAGGCCAATATTTTGCTCCCGACTCTAATATATCCACTCTACCACAGTCATGCAATCCATAGCCTAGTCGAGATTCGCAAGTACGATCTCCTACCTGATCTAGACTGAGAGATCGATCTTCGAGGCGTTGAGGCATGGCAGATGAAAACACCATTGATATGGTGATAATTAATCCTCACAACCCATGTGGAAATATCTATACGTATGAACATCTAAAGAAGGTACGTGAAACTATCTAATTAACGATTAACTTTCTTTGAACTTCACTTTTTTGTTATGTTACAATTTGTTATCAAGATATAGGTGGCTGAGACGGCGAGGAAGCTAGGCATAATGGTGATTTCTGATGAAGTTTATAATCAAACTATTTATGGAGAAAACCAATTTGTCCCGATGGGGATATTTTCATCGATTGCTCCTGTGATTACACTCGGGTCCATATCCAAGGGATGGCTCATTCCTGGGTGGCGAATAGGTTGGATCGCGATGAATGATCCTGATAACGTTTTCAAAACCATGAGGGTCGGTTTTCCAATCTCTAAACCATCAAAAGTTATTACACGGGTCTGATTAGTTATGGTAAAACTGTGACACCCGATCCCTGATCACTTTGAGCGCTAGGTCTCGTGCCCTAACTTGCTCAACAAGCAACATACTTGCACAAACTAAAAGGAAAAAAAGAGGGGTAAGTAGTTCCGGGAAGAAATTACTCAGTGAGATTGCTACCCACAACAACTCTAATACTTGGAAACAATAGGCAATCAAACACATTAAACCAGACATAGAACATGCATCACCCAACTTATTACTAGCAACATAACATTCACAACTAGCATTTCTACACCATAATCTCTTTTACTTATATATTAACTCATACTTAAACTATCCATTTTTCACATTTTCTACTTTTTTTTCTTTTTCACATTCTTTACTTTCTTTACTTTTCTTAAATTCACGGCGGAGCCAACCCCTTTCTCGCGTTTTGGGTCTGTCCTCCCCGTCATGGCCCTCTAAGGCCTAATGGACTACAACGGGCTTACATACGCGATCGTTCGTAGTCCAACACGCAAAGTTCTGTAACGGGTTTACGTACGCGATCGTTCCCAGAACTATTGATGTAATCCCACGTGATCAACCCCGAAGGAAAGGCTGAAAGTGAAGCGAATATGGAGGATGAGGGCYTGATGATGATGGTCRGAATTTYGCAGCAACGATGGTAAGGAATGGAGATGAATTCGAATGTGATGAGGGTGATGAATAGAGGCGACGATGGAGCAATGATCAGCGAGTGGTGATGATGATGAGACGTGATGATATTGTGGCTGTGATGGGGACGTGAATGAGAGGTGAAGAGAATGATTATTACGGATAGTTGTTTAGGTGATAAGGCGGATTAGAACAGATAGAAGAGTTTCAG